TTTATTTACTGTTCTCGAAGAAGGTTAACGGACGAATATCTTGATATCCTCACACACACATTGCAATGAATTTCTCGAGGCATGAGCTTTTCGAATCTCTCCCGCCTATGGGGTGACGTCTCATGCGTGCGAGTCGTGATGAAAGATTCAGAACGATTATCCGGATAGCGAGAAGCGGAAAGGCGGTTAAAGTGCTGCCGAGAAACATTTCCAAGGTGCAGGGCGCGTACGGTCACGTTTTACGGGCTCTTGCTCGCAAAGGACTCACGATATCGTCCAACCGGGAATGTCAATTTCCATATCAAACATCCTGAAACGCCAGCGATAAAACCGCTCGGAAATAAAACGCGGCACTCGAAATTCTGTCTGGTGACGGGCAGAAATCGTGAAACCGCGATTAGAACTTATATACCGATAATAAATTCTCGGGGAAACTTTGCTCGACGGACGAGCGATATTTATTACCATCTTTCGAGATGCTCTCGACCACGTTAAACGTTAGCAGTTGAACGATAATAATTTCATAATTCATTTTGAAGTTTACCCGTGAAGGTAACTAAATTATCCTAAATGAAACGTTGCACCGAAAGAGCAATTTCGCTAAAGAATCTAAAAATTTGGCTGGATACAGATCAATAATTTTGTTAGATCATCAAAATAATTTTTCAGGAATTTTAGCATGATATACCCAGAGAAAAGGTTGTTTCGATTTAAAGAAAATTTCTTTGCTATACGTTAAAGAAAAAATTTCTTTGATTTAAATATTATTTTTAAAAATCAAAGAAATTTTATTTGATTTAAAGAGATTATGTTCAAATCCAAGAAATGACGTTCAAACCATGATTTCTTGGATTTGAACATAATTTCTTTAAATCAAATAAATTTTATTTAATTTTAAAAAATAATATTTAAATCAAAGAAATTTTTTCAAAAATCAAAGAAATTTTTTCTTTAACCGTACAGCAAAGAAAATTTCTTTAAATCGAAGCAACCTTTTCTCTGGGTGTAAGCAATGCTGCAAAATTTTGATATAATTGTCGTCCTACTTAATTGTTTTGATGTCCAACAAAATATTTTTCAGATCTATATCTAGCTAAATCTTTAGATTCTTCAGCAAAATTGCTCTATCAGTGTGTGGAGGACAGATTTTTCCCCACGCAATTTCGCAATCGGTTCACATCCACGCAATATTCCACATTATATTTCGCTCTCAATTCTGTCGAGCAACGAATCAGGCGCGTTTTTTACCGAGAATTTTTATTCCGAACATGTCACGTTCCAAATTACCAGAGTAGTCGGAGGAATTAATCTACGTCGCTTTACAGCGTCGCATCATTGTAATAGCACGTCGTTTCCCTTAATTATGCCGGAGACGCCGAGAATCGTAGGATCCGTCGATCGTTAAACGAGATCGCTGCGTTCTCTCATCCGTATCTTCTACCCCGTTTCGTTCTCTTTCATTCGAATTCGACCTATCTCTCGGACGTGTATCTTTACGAGGATAGTATCGCGAGTATAAAAGCGGAACGTCCCGAAACGAGATGAGATCTCAGGCAGCTGCGCGTCGTGAAAATTCAACGGGATGCTGCCCGACGAACGAGCGAGATCCACGGGCTTCGATAATATGAAAATAGCGCGAATTTTTACGAGCGCGGCGAAATACGAAACTGCTCCATCGCTTCCCGTCGTCTCTCAGGCGTGTGTCGGACGTGAAGCCGGGATGTCGATAGCCGGGAAATACGAGGTGTCACTCGGAAATTTCGATTGCCAACGTGAAACGCGATACCGCGGAACGTGGGAAAGATGCGAGAAAGCTCTCGGAACGGACGGTACGCGGATAAGTCTTGGGGTCTTGGGGTCCGATACGAGAGAGTTCAAGAAATTCCTAAAGAGGCGAATCTATTTCTTGTTTATCGCCGCTTTCACGCGACGACAAGCACATGGAACAGATTTTGCTGAAGTATCTAAGAATTTAGTTCAGATATAGATCTGAAAATAATTTCGTTAAATAATGAAAATACCCAAGTGGAAAAGTTGGACATATGCCGGATCTTACAAATGGCGCGATACCGCGGCAGTTGTAAATAGTAAGTAACACCAGTACTGCTGGTCATTACGCCCAATCATCGGCATAATACTAACTTACTATTAGCTTAATACTGGCACAGTACTGACTCTTCAGTACTGGTTATCAACCGAATAAGGAGTTACGCCGAGGATTGGTACGGTACTGGCTTAGTACTGGCACAGTACTGCCTACAATACTGTCCCAATACTGGTTGCCAATACCCAGCCAAGTTACCTTTCGGTATGATGCCAGAACTCATCGTTATTAATACAGTAATATACCAATACCGAGCCAGTACCAAATCCTTAACGCAGTACTGGCGCGATATCGCGCCAGTTGTAAATTTCCACTTGGATAATTATACAGGGTGGCCATTACGATTGTGTCTCAACTAAATGATTATCACTTCGCAACAAGTGGATCGAACAAAACAAATGAAACGTCATTTTGTAGAGGAAATTTGTCAATTTCATTTGAGCAGTTGTACAAGCTAGCTCATGAGTATTAGCATGAATGCACAAAATGGCGTTTCAATTGTTTTGTTCAATCTACTTGTTGAGAAATAGTGACCGTTTAGTTTAGATACAAATCTAATGATCACCTGTACTCAAACATGAAGAGCATCCCACAAAAAGTTTTGACATTCGTAATAACTATGTTGGAAACTAATATAAAAATTTTTCGAAGTATTGCTTGTAATTTTTTGATTTCCAACATAATTATAATAATGTTGGAAACTGAAAAAAATAACACGCAACGTTTTAAAAAAATTTTATATTTCAACAACTGCAGTTTGAGTTTCCAACAAAATTATGCTGATAGGCCAACAAAATTATTATTAGATCTATATCCTTCTGTGAAATTTTAGATCTTTCAGTAAAATCGTTCTTTTCATCTAATTATAGCGATAAGGCATTATAACAAAAAGGAAGCGTCTCGAAAGCGTAAGAGGAGAATAATTAGAACCGCCTTCGCCTCGAAACGCGTCCAGACGATCGCGCGTTTGCACTCCGGCTATATTTAACGTGTCCTATTCTGCATACATGAGCGGATACTCATTTTATCGTTTATCTGCGGAATCGAGAGACGCAGGCAAATACGATATCGTAGTTGGAACGGCAAGACGAAAGGAGCTGTAGCCAGCGGGAGAGCCTAGCCCGCGGACGCGCGTGATCGGGACGCGTGTACCGCACGCACGCCCGTGTATGCCGCACGCAATGCAGGAAGGTAAAAGGCGTAGGTGGATGGATCGATAGAGCAGGTGGCAGCACGTCGGTGCTCTCCCTGGTTCGCTTCCGGCGCGGCGGAGTGTCATTGGACTCTCTCAGCCGATCGAACGATTGGCCTCGGCACGATTGTGAGAAATAATAGCAAGGCTAATTCATTCGGAGACGTGGGGCGAGGAGTAACGCAATTATCAACGATCACGACTCATTAAGATGCGACGCCGTCCTAGATGGTTTCTCGTGACTTGAATTCCCGACGAAAGTGCACGAAAAGTTGAACAGTACACGGCAGTACGAAGCATCTATAAAAATGTAGCTATATATACGAAAAGAACGGTTTTGCTGAAATATTTAATGTAAAAATTTAGCTGAAATACAGCCTTCAAAATAATTTTGTTTGGACCATCAAAATAATTATATAGGGCGCTTAAATTGATTGCTAGACTATTAAAACTTTTGCAGTATTATATCATCAACACTTAATATAATAATACTATCTACATAATTATTATTGTAATAATCTAATAAAATTAATTTCAGATCTACATTGAAAGAAAATATTGACTGAATATGGCATAGCATTATTAATTAGTTGCAGTAGTCGCCAATTTTTGGTTGCGTTAGCTTATCGAAATCCTACACTGACATAGCTAGGCTAACGTGACTAAAAATTGGCTGCTGTAATAAAAAATTGGCTGTTGCAGCCAATTAAAAATGCTATGCCATATTTTATCAACTAATTTGCTGCAGCAGTTTTTCTTTTCTTTCAGTGTAGTTACATTTTTGGATACTTCAGCAAAACCGTTCTTTCTGTGTAAATACATGCACTGAAAAAAGAAGAAAAGTAATAATTACCACATGTTAAGTAAAATAATGTCAAATGTTCGGTTAATATACCTAAAAATAACAATAAAACCAGGGCGAATAAGAGTCAGCGTGATAATTAATACGCAATCTTAATTCTTCAAAAAATTGATTCTTTATTCCAAAAAATACCTAAAAATAATTTTACTTTTTTAAATATTTAATAAAAAAGTATTACCAAACGGTTGGTTATATTATTGTGTTTGATGAAACTTACTAAAAATATTTAGGTATATATATGTATATAAGTAAAATTATTTTTAATTAAATTAACCTAACATTTAATTGACATTATTTCTCTTAATATTTAGTAGTTATTATCATGCTCTTTTTTTAGTGTTCAAATTTGAAAATAAATTTGTTGGACTATCAAAATGTAGGATGCTCAAATATGATGAGCAATGCAAAAGTCTTTTTTTATATTCTAACAACCAGCTTGAGTGCCTTACATAATTATTTTGATAAGAAAATTATTTTGCATCTAGCTAAATTATATATCAAACTAAATTTTTAGATATTTTAGCAAAATTATTCTTTCTGTGTGAAAAAGCAATCTCGAGTTTAAATTGAACAATAGTCAAAAGACACTCTTTTCTAAAGTTTCCTGCAAAAATTACCAGGAAAAAGATTCAATCGAAGGTACTGAAGACAAAATAAATATCAATGAGAAGCTTCACAAAGACCTCTCTTATATAGAAGGCACTTATTCTTTATGTCAAATGTTAATTCTGTACCAACAAAGCTTGGCGTCACAGATTCATTTATGTACATTTTAATACAGAGTTATTCAACATCGTGACGCGAGACACGCAACAATTGGAGCACGTAAAGAATTTACTTACTTTGCGAATGTCTTCTAAATTGTGAATTTCGGGCGACAGACCGCCGTGTACGCAGAGGAACTGTTGGTTCATGAGGGCGGCGAGCGGCAAACAGTCGAAGGCATCCATGCACGCGTCGTACACCCTCTCGGAGTATTTTATTTTACCTGAAAGCAAAAAAGAAAAATATATCCAAAATATTAAAATAACATATTAGAACTTTATCCACGCGACGAAGGTATTTTTATCAGAGCCTTATGGCGTTTACAATGATCGTACGAATGTGTCGAGAACTACTTTCACAGCTCCTTTCACGAAACGAGATGAGAACACGGAGATCGGAGTTGACACGTCTAATCTGACGTTCGGCGAAAAGGTCGAGATGGAAGAGGAAATAAAGACGACGCGAGGGAGTCGTGAGGAAAGATCCTGACAAGCGAGGCGAAACACGCATAGTCGGGCATGGACCATTCCGCGAACGGGTCGTAAAAAGAATGGCGGACACACGGGGGCTCTATTTCACGTCGAGTCCTCGCGGAATAATGGATACTCTCCAGAATACGGAGAGAAGCCGGCTGGCCGTCCACGCCTGTTCTGTGTTCCTGAAATTTCGCTGCGCGTGTCTTCCTCCTCGCAGCTCTTCTCTCGCCATGCCCACGAATGCAACCGACAGCCCGCTCGTCTCGCGCGAGCGATAAACCGCTCCGGCAGATAAGATCCGGAGCGGGTAATTGTTGTCTTATTTCTGGAGTAAAACGGACCAATTCTGTGGTACGGGTGGAAACCCGTGTTTTCTCTTTCCTCTTTTTCGATTCCAAGTTCTGATTACTTTTATAACTAACTCGTATGACGCTGTTTCACATGAAAATTGTAAAACTTTAACTCTCAGAAGGATATCGTAAGAAGCTCTTCTCGAGCCATCGCTCTCTGTTTCTGACATGTTTCTCCTGTTAAATGTGACCTCGGAAATTGACGTAAAGCGAGCTGTATTTACTACGTAGAAGGAGGATCGTCGAATCACTGTTCGAGGTGACGCGCGAAAAGGATTTCCTACCAATAAAGCGGAGTAATCTCGACAGGATAAAGATTTGTCGGCGCTGAAGCTAAACGGATCGTCGCTCGAAGTTGCCACTCGAGGACCTTCACGAGATCTCGCAAATGAACGACCAGTTGGTGGACGTAGGAGCCTCTTTGGGGTTGCAGATTGAAGTATTGCGAAACGGATGTCTGTAATATCGCGCCAAGGACGGACTCGGCGAAGCTCTCATGTCGCTCGAGATTATTAAAGCAGAGAGAAATAAAGCGAAAGACACCATTGTGAGATGTCTAACAAAGACTAATCGATAACATCATAATTAAACCGACAGATAATTAAGGAAAGTAAGATTAATTGTAAATAATGTAGAAATTTGATTGAGGTCGACTAAGAGAATGATTAAAAACAATCTGAAATAAATTTAAACACAGATTATCGAATGGAACTCTTATTGAGTGACTAGAAAATATACAGGGTGGCGCATAAAATGTCAATTTAATTATCCAATTTTTAGATCTTGATACATGGAAAGAACGGTTTTGTTGAATGTCTAAAAATTTAGCTAAATATAAATGTAAATATAAATTTTTCTTGGACCATCCAAATCGTTATGTAAGTCACTTAAATTGATTGCGAAAATGTTAACATTTTTTACAGCGTTGTCGTCAACGTTTAAATATCTCACATAATTATTTTAAGTCTTTTTATTCCTGCAGCACTAGACTTCATTAGAATTCTCTTTCTCGCTTTTGTTAAATATCAAACATACACATCTCATTTTAAGTTCCAAAAGTGCAATGTATACTAGTTCAGCCTTTTGATGGTCCAACAAAATTATTTTTAGATTTAGCCAGTCAAAATGTTTAGTTACATCAGCAAAACCATTCTTTCCGTTTAATCAATCCTAATTTTAGTACTGTGATATATAAAATTATATTCTATCAATTTTGTTAAAAATAAATGCGTTAAGTATAAAATAGTATAACATTTTGTGCGCCATCCTGTATCTTGTAATCCATTCGCAAGCACACAACAACTGCTGATCTTCACAAACAGTGTTCTATCCTCGTGACTATTACGCGGAACACACGCTGCGTACCGCGACAAAAATGACGGTTATGGCGAAATCGTTGGCGAATTAATTGCGCATTCGTCTCCCATATTCGCGGACAAACGATCGTTTTTGGCACCGAGATCCATTTCGAAACGACATGCCGTCGCGATCTTGGCGCGCGGCCACCGCGTCCCGGCTTCTAGCGCGAAAAGCGTGCGAGCGACAAAATCGTTCGGAATAATGCGTTTCTCGAGCTCGAGCTCCGGCATGCGGCTTTCAGAAAGCGCGATCGTTAAGTTTCCAGCGTCGTGCACTGCTAGATGGAGCCAGATAAGGACAGTTGCAAGACAATCGCGAAATAAGCACTGTATTCTCATATAGATTATAACTGAATATAATAAAAGTATATAATAAAGTGTAATATTTTATGAGCTCTTCAAAGAGCTGATATAGTTCAGCTGGTATAGATCAAAATTTGTAACACTGCAGTCACGACAAGTGAGATTCATTTAATTTTTGTTAAATGAAAGACACTATAATATTAACTCTCGACACACACTGGGTCTTTCGTGTTCGTGCATTAAAAACAATCATTTTTGTACTTTAATAAAATCAAAAACTGCTTTTTTCTTCAAAAATCAAAGTTACAATTTTTGTATCAAAACTGAATTATTTTCTTTTTCTGGTGCAGAAAGTAATTTCCATAATTTTTCTAAATATTTTTTTTTTTCAATGTTTGCATAGCAGGATAATTTAGTAGAGACCTTAAAGAATATGTGTGAATTTTTACAAAATTTTTCGAGCACTTTAAGAGCCTTAAAATCGAGTCAGACACGAATGATCCATGTGTGTCGTCCAAAGGTACCGAAAATAAGTGTGTAGTTCGAGGGTTAATTTTAAGGAACCAAGGTAACGTAACTGTAAAAGAATAAATATCAAATTTACTTTAATACCAATAATTTGAATTTACAGATGTATCGCGAAAAATATAATTAAATGGATCCAATAAATTCATCGGTTTATCAATTCCGGTGGGATATAAATGAGTGTATCCAACAGAGAAAGGGGAGTTTTGCTGAAATATCTAAAAACTTGTTGCGTTGATGACAATGTTGAATAAAATTTAGCAACTAGTGCGAGCGTCCTACACAATTATTTTGACGGATCAAAAAAATTATTTTCAAATCTGTATCTACATATAGTTAAATTTTTAGATACTCGAAAACCGTTCTTCCCGTGTAGCTCTATTTATTTTAACATTTTCATAGAGGATCGAAGCAGCATCACCGTGTATTATGGCTAGTCACGACGTAGAAAAATGATATATTTGGGATACACGAAATATACGGTGGCAAGGAGCAACCGCGCATTTATCTTGATAGAACCGGTATCGAACTTCTCTATACGTCACGGTTAAGCGCGCTACATTTTTCTCGCGTCATTGTTACCCGAATTGGCAGAAAAATGTGAGCGCGGCAAATGTCGGAAAAACGTCGGGAGAAAAAAAAATGCGGGTAGGATCGCGCGAGCGCGATATATTATCGCGACCTACTGCATTTTCCTATACAACATTATGCCTGAGTTTTACATAAGACGCGATAGGGACAAGCTCTCACATTGTTGTAATCCACAATGCCCGCTGCGGCTACATTAGTTTTATATAAAAATAAATATGCACGATACTCTTGACAGTTTATCGGAGTTAAATAAAAATTTCTGTTGTGCATTCGTTTTAAAAAAGAGGAAATAAAAAAAAAAGAGAGAGAATCACCGCCCCGCTACCCCCATTTCTGTGCGAGCGTGCTATCGCGACTTCGTATCGCGAGGAAAAGCTTGAACCGCTGGAGATAATCGCAATTTTCTCGATCGGCCGGCACGTGAATGCCGGCATAATACATAGCGGCATAACTAGGCCGCGTAAATAGGTTGCTGCGAAAAAGAAAAAAACGTGGAGAGACGCGGATATGCGCGGGCGAGGGCGCAACTCTCTCGCTAACCCCCGCGCGGGGCTCCCAAACGTCCGCCAATAAATGCACGGCAAAAGCTCCGTTAAAACGATGATTAAAGCGCCGGGTGGTAGCACGCGTTGAGATTTTCGCGGTTATCGCGATTATTAAACGCGCGCGGAATCGGGGTCACGGTGCGTGCGCGAACGAGCGAATTTTTGTCGGGTGAACACCCCCTCCCCTCGTCGGGTGACTTGCACCCCGCTTAATATCGCAGGCGGAAATGGCATTACGCCGGTTGTGGATGTAGGTATGTAAGAGGAAATTAGAACTGTTCTTCAAAACGAAACCCCGGATACGAGAATGGACCCCGAGTAAGGAGGGTGCGCGAAGATGAGAAGTGGGTCCCGTGCTGTTTCCCTCTTGACGTTTACTACAAGATAGCTTTTTACGTTTGCAATAATAATAGAGCAGTGAGGGTGGAATATAAAAGACGACGGGAGGGATGTAACATCATGCGGGACCGACGAGATACAATAAGGCAGCATAAAACGTTTAATAATACATAAAATGTTTTTAGAGGCAGTTAAGAGGGCTATACGACGAATTTATGTCCGACGTTCGTATAATCAAAGTATCATTAGGAAACCGGGCGAATTTATTTGCAAGATATTAGTACGTCGTAAATAATATATTATTTCTCACTCTTAAGCTTTAAGAATAAATAAATTGACGTCCTTTCTGAAATTGCTGATAAATTAATCAGACTGAAAAAATCTGGTTATCTACCAAAATGTATTTTGTTTAGCATATTGATGAAATATTTAAATATTACTTAATGATACAGTAATTAACTATTTAGTAATAATTAGAAAAAATAAGTTTTCCGATTATCGCATCAAAAAAGTGACAACTCTTTTTGATGAAAAAGGTTTGTAAAGTACATAAACAAAAAAATAACATTTTTTAAATCAAATTTTTACAATGATTAATTCCATTCAAGCAAAAAAAAAATATCTGCTGTTATATTTTCACTGGTTTATTCTTTGGATACCGTATAGCAACGTATTATTAACTAAACCAAACAAAAGGATGAATATATTCGTCAGATGGTAAAAAAAAAAACAAACATTTTTTTAAATGCAATAAATAAAAATGTATTTTTTAAATAAGCAAAAAATATTGGTAATCTTCGAAAATCACATTTAGTTTCACATTTGTTTGAAATTAAAAAATGATAGACTTAACACTGGACCAGTGTCCAATTAGCGCAACAGTGAGCGAGTAGCAATTGTTAGCAGATGAGACGACAAAAGTATGAATGGAACGCTTGTTTTACAAATCTCATCAGCTTAAATAAAAAAAGGTGACTCTTAGTAACCCATTTTAGATAATAGGGGAGACCGGGACTGGTTGTCATACGGGGTTGATTGTCAAAATGCTTATAACTCAAACAAGACACGGTAGAAAAATCTCTTTTTTTGACTGTAGATAGCTGATATAATATTAATTTGTTGTGTAAATTGGTTTGCACCACAAGCATTGTATATATTATTTATAGCGATTTTTGAGAAAATAAAGTTGGTGAATAAATTTTTATAATCACCTATTTTGCTGTCTGACAAATCTTTGGCATTATTAACCGTAATATCCCTGTATTCACAGAAAATGATATATCTTAGAAGATCTTTGCTACAATTAAGTAATCATTATTCTGACTAAGTTTGTGAATACAATCTCTTTTATTAAAAATGGCTATGTGGGGTAGATTGACCAAAATGAGACGAGATTAGGTGACAATTAATTTTAATATCTTTAGAGGACACATTTTCAGAGAATATACTTACAAATATATTATATTTCATGTAGATATATATTTTTTCATTTTTCATATAGAAACTATGATACAAAAACAAATTATGTATTTTATGATTAAAATAACTATTTTATTTGTATTAATACTATAATTACTATTATTTCTCAAAATATAGAACTGATATTAAAATAAAAATTGTGTTTTTTATATGTGTTGTCCATAACAAATATGCTACTGCCAATTCTAGAACGTGTGACAATCAACTCAGAACACGGGGTTAATTGTCATATTTTCGCAGCATCATTTAAAATTAAATAACTTATTTTTATGATATGATGAATTCACGAATAATATTTTTTTTAATACTTAAAGGATGGAGGTATATTGTAACGTATATAATATTTCAAAATCAGGCATTCACTTTTTTCTAAAAATCAATAATCAAAAACTGTGACAATTGGCCCCGGTCTCCCCTATATAGTGACTTTCAGTAATTTATCAAAAAAGATAAGGAAAAAGTAACTTAAGTGACTGGATTGCAGAGCTGAATTAATATTTAGAAAAGTAAAATTAGCTTCTGATCGGTGTTTAATTAATTACATTAACCGAACATTTAATTCAAATTATTTCATCAAAGCCAAAGCTTTATAGCGTTCTCGACTGCAGTGAATTCGAACGTGGGTTAAATTAATGATGTTACATGCTCTACTATTGGTTGATGTTACATTCTCTACTAATAGTACGTCATTAATCCAATCGAGATCGGTTCAAATCTACCGCTATTAGTAATTATCGTCTAAGTTTTATTATTATTACCAGACATTTTTCAGTACACTAACCGAAGTAGGGACGTTTCAGTCCTAATTAGCTTCGAAAAATATTGTCCCTTCGGATCTGTCGCCACAAAGATGTCGATGCATCCCTCGCGATGCATAGCTCGGACACTCGCGCATTAGAAGCAGGCGGCGTCTCGCGGAAAAGTGTATCGATCGCGGAAAATTGTCCGATACTAGGTCAACCTACGAGTATTTGCGAGGCGCCCCCGCTCTCCGTCTCGGTTTCCCCAGTCGCGTCGTTATAACATTTACGATGTGATCGACAGGACGAGAACGAGTCGTAATATGCGGCATGGTTTCCTCGTATGATGATGCAGGCAAGTATACCGGCTCACTGCAGAAAGCGCGGATTGAACGCGGAGAATCGCCGGAGATGCGTTTCGACTAAAGGCGATCGTTGGATTTTTTCGCAAGTCGAGCTTTCATTTACCGGCTGCACGTACAAACGTGCATAGATGGACGAGAGGATGCGAGATGAGCAGCTGCGTTCGACGTTAAACACGCCGCAAATCTGGATCCTTTGGTATCCATGCGTATAAATTGCACTAGGGCAGAGCCCACGTAATGTAGCGTAAACTCACGCGATTAATGTAATCCCGAAGTTCGTCGGTTGCGAACAAGCTCGAACTTAAGCGAAACAACAAGAGAGCGAGAATCGCAAGCGTTCCCTAAATGCGTCGGCCGTTCGACGAATGTAACGTGCTGCCGATGTCCGGCGGTTTACAATCTCGTAACTTATCCAACGTGGGGTACACGTGATCGAAGGACTATGGGGACACACGCAGGTCACAAGGTCGATATTGTACACGCAATACGAGTTATCGCTACGATCGAGTCTCGTTATTGCAGTTTTTTACTGCAACATGGCACAGCGTAAGTATAACACACATATCTTTTTTATTAATTCCAGAGAATTTTCATAACATAATTTTCTACTTTTATTTTATCTAAACGGGACAATTCTGTAGTATGTAGAACACAAAAAATAAGTATATGAATATAAATTGTAACAAAACTGTGAAATATGAATCGTTTAAAATGATATTGTCACGCGATGGTATAATATTTATACTCTCAACGCGATGCGATGGCATGAAAACAAATATAAAGATAATATAAATTAGCTCCATTACGAATTCTGTTAATTAAGTTAAATATATTCCCAATATTACGCTCACATAATATTCTACAAAACAATATGTTTATTTCTGCATGCATTTAAAATTAGATTCCAATATTTATGCATGAGGATAGTTTATTTAGGTAATTAATAAATAATACGATATTAATATTTTTTATACAAAATCGATAAACTACACAAGTTTACAGCAAAATATATACTTTGAACTAAACAAGCTATTTTTTATAGATTTTCTTTATGTATTTAAATTTCTCTATGTATTTAAATCCTTCATAACATGATATAACTAAAAAGTAAGTTGAAATGAAAAAAATCCAATACATTCGTGACTACCGATCAAAATTTCAAGATAACGATTTGACTTGCATCGTTTTTGGCCTCCAAAAAAATCTGTACACTCTAAATTTCTTGCAGTGAAATCTCACTCCAAGAGAGTGAAAATGCAACCACCCTTGAAAAAAAGTGAAAATATTTCACTTTTTGAAAAAAAATTACGATCTTCACTCTTTTTAGAGTAAAATCACATTTTTTAAAAATAAGATTTTACTCTTTTGAAGTGAAAATTCACTTTAAAAAGAGTGAAAATTGTCACTCTTTTTAAAGAAATGAAATATTTTCACTTTTTTTAAAGGGTGGTTGTATTTTCACTTTCTTGGAGTGAGATTTCACTGTAAGAAATTTAGAGTGTAAGAAACACCTTATCTGGTTCAAAGTAATTTAAAAAAATATTTTTTTGTAAATTAGTATTATCTTTATAGTTAACATTATGTTTTCTTCGTCATAAATATATTCATCTACAAAACTCGCATAAATTAACACTTACAATTTTTATTCAGTCCTTTCTCGAAAGCTACATTTTGTTACTTAGACCGTAATTACGACACACGCGTGTATGTCAGGCACCGAAGCTCGCGATGTAGGTAGGTAGATGAGCTGCATAAATTTCGCCACCGCGCAGAGCTAATTCACCTTACGAGGCAACACCCCGTCGTAACTAACGTGACGGAAGACTTAATCTGAGTCGCAAATTATTAAACAGGAAATAATTTCTTATTACGACGCGAAACAAAAGCGGGACACGGCTAAAAAGCGTGCAACGCGAAGCGATATAAAAGATTCAACGACGCGGGGAAATGAATATTTCGAGATCGGAGAGAGAAAGAATGGACGGGCTTTCTTCCTTGCAAATTTTTGAAGGAATGAGAAAAAGACTTGCAGTCTTCATAGATTGTAAAACTGCTCGTTTGACATATTTTTAAAATTATAAATATGAATACAAGAGAAAAGCTTACTTCCTCTCGAAGAGGGTTTACTTACATTCCTGCTTAAATGTGAAGTATTCCGTGAGATGACGGCACTCGTGGTTACCTCTGAGGAGGAAAAGTGTGGTTGGATGGCACAATTTCAGCGCCCACAGGTACAATACGCACTGAAACAAAAACGAAGACGTAGATGTCAGCTGAAGGTAATTCACCGTGTAATAACGCTGATACCATTTCATAACCTTTAGATATAAATTATGTATATAGTCGACACAATATATTTCGAAATAAATATTTTTAAAACGTTATAAGTATATAATGTTAGAATTGTCTTTTATATGTCTGTCAAAATATATAAATTAATTCATTTCTGTGGTTAGTTTTAAAGTAAACAACATTTGTAATAACGTATGTTTTTAATAAATAATAAATTTTTAGGTAAAATTTAATTTTCTTGAGTTAAATTATTTAATTTATATTGTTTTATATAAATTAATAAATTAATGACATATTGAGTAAGGACAGTGGCAGCTTATAGAAATGATTAAAAATAACTCAAATTAGGTATAATTAGACGTTATGAATTTAAATGTATTCTGTTAGATATAAAAAAATAATTGTAATCCAATCTCTTGAGTTAAACATTTTGTTATTTTTAACTTTTATGTGTGTCAAAGTATGATTTAATTTTTGCATTTCTATAATTGTAACGTAAATAGTGTATGCACTTAATAAATAATAAATTAAATTTAAATTAAATTCAGTACATATGCTTGAGTTAAATTGTTTAATTAATTATTTTAATTTAATTAATGACATATTGATTAGAGCAATAGCGATCTATAGAAAAGATTAAAAATAATTCAAATTGAATATAATTCAACATGATGAAATTAATAGTGTAGTTATAAAAGAAATTAAATTGTCAATAAATTATTAATGAACGATCTATTAATAGACTGAACCATAAAAGAATTTTCGAAAAACGATCTGTAATGCCAAAGAATCTATTATAACGTCTATTATAACGTCAGCTTAAATGATAAAAAGAATGTTTTACGAGGGGAAATGGAACAATCGTCAAAAACATAAATGTTTAAATCGGCTTGCGATTTGCATCGACAATATCACGATCTTTCTATTAAATCGAAACAATTCGTTAGTCTCTATCCAGCAGCTCCAATCGTTCGAAGATCCCCGGTTTGATCGGCATTCCTCCGCTTTAATTGCAGAACTTCCGTGTCGACATGAATTCGAGCGACGTGTTGCCGACAGATTGCATCGCAGAATGTATTCGGACCTCGCGAGATTCTCTCCATAATTTAACGTGCTATTAATGGGTGCATCGGTCAAAGAGAGATGAGAACTAAACTCCCAACTGCTTAATTTCCTACTCTCTTCTCTCCTTTCTCTCTCTTTCGTTATTTGTATATTTTTGCCTCTCTTTTACGTTTTTCTTTTATTTTTCTGTTCTTAAAAGACTTGTCCTAGAATGATAATAAATAAGCCTTCCCTCCCCCTCTCTCCCTCCTCTCTCTCCTTCTCTTTCTCTCTGTCCCTTTTTCTCAATGACAACGATGCCATTAATAATCCTGAAACGTATAGTGCTTAAAAGTGAATATTTTGGCAACGGAGACCTTACCAGCAGTTCTCTCATCTTGCAAAAATGAATCGGGTGGCGAAAGCCATATGACTTGTATTTGGCTTGCGTTTCGTGCACTCGATAAAAACACACTGCATAGTTGCACAAGGTATGCGTATTGTACACAGGGTGAAAATAATTATGTAATAAACGCGAGAATTGCTCGCCGAAACTCGAGAAAAAATAAATAATAACAATGTGAATAAATCATATAGAACTTAAATATAAGATGTTGTTGACTGTGTGTTATAAAATAATAAAAGTATAGATAAAATATTGAGTAGCTTGCCTCGATCGTGAAATAAAAGTTCGAGTTTTGAACTACTCTTCGATGGAGCGATCGGAATTGTCAGAATTTGGCTGTTATTCGGGGTGAAGTGCGTTACGCGCGAATGCATTACTAATTAATATTATTCGTTGTAACGCACAGACCACTGACCCGCATTAAATTGGCAATGGCCGTTGCTAACGAACGGCGGATTTCGCACGAATTTTGTGTCCGCGCTAATTAGCTCGCTCGCTCGAATGTGGCGGGCCGTAATGACGACTCCATTAATTTCAACACGGTTTCGGATAGAAAACGGGGAGGGAGACAGGGCGCGATTTCGTCTTTTATGTGGTTAACATTTGTCCCGCATTCATTGTGTCCGCGGCTATTTAATAATCACGAGTGACGCGGCACTTTTAAACAGGCTTAATTGCGCGCATGAACAATGTAAATTAAAGCTTTTATAGGCACCGCACGTTCGTCGGCAATTTTCTCGCAATGTGGAAAATTTGATCGAACAATCTTGATATCATCAATATGCAAAATGCAATTGCTTCAAACGCAAGATTTCTTTACCCACTCAATTTTTTAATACCAATTTTAACCGGAGAGAATTCAATGGAATCCAATATTTCTTCTCATAATTTTTAAAGTTTTCAACGTATTTCGAAAATTAAATTTCTATTCAACGATATAATAATAGCCTTAAAATGGAAAGAATAAATTTATCCTTCGGCAATTCGAAAGTTTAGTTTTAGTAACACTCCACATTTTCGATCACTTATCACAAAGACTTGTTGATATTTCATTATTTTTAAAAATCATCAAAAGATTGTGAAAATCAAATTAAAAGTAATCGAAAAATCAGTAGATGAAGAAAAAATGTCTTAATTTTAGAGTTACATAGAAAATTAATACAAAAAACGTAACACTGACAATTCGCAAGCAATTATATTTCTTCATTAAAATTTATAGCATGTCAAATTAATATGGCTCAATAAATTTAACATTTATAATATGGTTAAATTAACACATTTAATTAACACATTTTTATACGATATTTTTAACAATATCCAGTGTGATAGATACATAACGAAGCGATACAGTGTGGAATCTCTAAAGAATTAAAGGCAAAATGAAAACCAACTCGATATTATTATTCATTCTGGAATGATTTTTCTCCTTTAAAAAGTTAATCTTTGCCTAACCTACCGAGGAAAGGATAGCTGAGTGGCCCTTCCCAGTCTTTCGCGACTGCAGAGCGTCAAAAGGGGAGAAAAAGTTGAAAAATATTCTAGCACCGTGGTCTTACGTAAGGTGAAACAGATGTGATTGCGATTGAAACCGCTGGACCGAAACATTTAACCTTTGTGTATCAAATCGATACCATGGAACTACCAACATCGCATCGCGGGCTCGACTCAGTGGGATAGAGGGAAAGAAATGTCACACATTGGTTACATATAGGATATTTATCTCCCGTTCTCGCGTCTCACAGGATCGCACATCGTGGCGACGGTTAACACGTCGGCGGTGGGGTGTATCGATACACAACGCGGTTTTTTCGATTTTGCATGATCGCCGCGCTTCCGAGAGCGAGATAAATCCTCGCATCCGTAAAAGCCAGGGCGCCAGCAATTTTTTTTCTTAGACTTTCGAGGTCAATTATTTTCTCCCTGCTGACCCGATCGACTGTCTACCGTCGTCCGCCCCTCGCGTCGTTCCGCGACCCTTCTTCCTCCACCATCCCTTTGCGAAGCCAACGGAGCGGCTGCTCGTTCTCGCCTTGTCCCGGCCGCTATAATTACACGCGAGGGCCCTCATTGGCATTGTAACGAAATAACGTGCTCATCCTTCAGATTCTGCCGCGGATCACTCGCGAGCGGAGCACTTGTGCTCTCCGCATCGGATATATAGGTCCCTTCTAAGGGCCATCACACACAAAATGACATGAACTGCATAAACATAGCATAAGATCGCTCGGCCAATGAACATCTTGTGCAAATCAATATGGCGTATTTTTGCCAGATGATCATTGGTCTAGAGGGCTTATGCAGTTTGTCGTTTTGTGTGCAGTGGCCCTTACACGACGATTGTGCGAAACGCACATACCTAAATGTAGATTGACAATCGAATTCGTACATAAGATTATAATTCTTTTTTATTTTTAACTCGGACTTGTTAAATTCATTCGTCGTCCAAATTAATATCTTCTTCAAGGCGGAGAATCCATTTGCGTTTATATTCCAATGATGTTCCCGCAGTTAGAGAAGTACTCTCGAAACTCTTCAATTGAAATAGTCAAGATACCGATTGAAACTTCTTTTTCCAACTTAACAAAGATTTGTACTACTTAGAAACATGCTGCTTTATCTTCGTAAACATTTTCCAATGTTTCCATAATTTCTTGGCTATTCTTTCAAAGATTCTTTTCAATAAGAATTTTGATAGTATGGTTCTTTCAATACCACTTGTGAAAATAGTTGATTGGTTTATTACCATTCAATGGAGCATCTTCTGATATAGAACTACCTGATCCTATAAAATCTTTTATCGAAGGGTAAAAATGGTTATCATAAAATATTTCTTCTCCGGGTAGGTAATGAAGATCATCATCATTGATTTCAAAAATGTCATCATCACTTGTAATTGAGTCGCCTTCGGATTCACCACTACTCCATGCATCACATTCGTCGTTTATATCCGACATTATTTTATAATTGACAATCAGTGTACACACTTTGAAAAAACTTCTTGAATATTTTGAAGAAAAGAGAAATGACAATCGCGAGTCTAAATGAGAAGTTTCTTTGAAACAACTTTTTACTGATCAAAATCGATTTTTACGGAAGAAAAAATCTATTGAAAAATAGAGTTAAACGTTTTCAAGTCAAACTTTTTCTAAAAAAAATTTTTTACGCAAAACTGGGAAGCCTGAAACTGAATTTGACAACAAAATCGTATTCGGAACGTCAAAATATAGAAGCAATAATGTATTCATTCAAAGTTGCAAAAAAAAAATTTGTTTCTGACTTTTATGAAAAGTTTGGTTTTTATGCAAAAATCGAAGATGTAAGTTTAATTAGATGACAGAATCGCATTCAGCACGCCAAAATATGCTATGAATGACAAATCTGATCAAAAATATATGATTTTAATTTTATGCGCCTAAATGCGCCATGCCGGCGGTCTGAAGGTTAAATAAAAAAAGAAAGTATAAATTTAACCTTCCGCTGGTAATCATGGATCTTAAAGGC